TTACATGAAAAACAAAATTATTTGCATCAAGGACCCATGATGTCTTTAATGTATATACCAAGTTTGAACAAAATCCATCTGTAAACAGCCGAGAAATGCTTGATTTTCAAGATTTTTTAACTCAAAAATGGCCGCCATTCGGCCATCTTGAATCAGATCGTAAAACAAAATGATGTGCATCAAGGTCCTATAATGTCCAACGTATATACAAGGTTTGAACAAAATCCATTTGTAAACAGCTGAAAAATGTTTGATTTTGATGAATTTTAGCACAAAAATGACCACCATTCAACCATCTTGAATCAGATCGTGAAACAAATTGACGTGCATATGTATAATATCATGGATGATGCATGTGTGAAGTTTGATTATGATTGCTCCAGGCATTTCTAAGATACAGGTCCGGATGCACGCACGCACGCACAGACGCACGGACACACAGAGGTCAAAACATAAGTCCCCGTTTTTGGACTCCGTCCGAACGGGGACTAAAAAAATGAAAAGGCTTAAAATTGGCTAATTATTACGCCAATTAAGTACTTAATATGTATGGACTTCAACCAAAAACTAAACAGGTCTGATTATTACTGATTATTACGCAAATTACCTAATTAACATAAAATATAACCAGGTCTTGTTTTTATTTATAGTAGCTGTGTACCAAGTTTCATTCAAATCCAGCTAGTGGCTCTTGAGAGATACTGGTGGAACAAGAGTTGACAGAAATACACATCTTCAATTTAAATGTAGGCTTGACAGAAAATATATTTTAATACTTACTCCTTGGTAACCAGATGGGATATCATATGTTATGACAATTGAACCAAATGCTTCATATCCTGGCAAATGTATTTTTGAGAATTTGTGCACCATACTGCCCTTCGGCATGTTACCAGTGATGAGACCATAAACATCTTTGCAGACTGGACATGTTTTTCCCTGGTGCTTCTCTGACTGTTTGATACATTTTTTGCAAAACCTGTGCTTGCATCGTAATGTTTTAGGATCATTCATATCATCTAGACAAATTGAACACTGTTTGTCATTATTGGAATTAGAGTCTTTCCTGTTAGTTTTGTCAACCACTGTAGCTGTACTGTCAACTCTGGCAGCTGTACCTGGGTGGGATTTGGGACGAGTTCCTGTTGCTGGACTTGATGACTGATGTATCACATTGTCCATTGTAACAGATGCATAGGACCTTACAGGAGTACCAGAATTAGCATGCATCTCATCTTCCACTTGATCAACTGAGCTTATTTTACCAAGAGTACCAGGTTGACCTCTGAACTTCTCAAAAGCCTTGGTGAATATGTCTACTGTCTTATCATCAATGTCAATAAAACGAATGTCACGTAGATGGCCTTGGAAATAGTGGCGAATAAAATCCTCAACAGCATAAGCCATTTGCTGTGCACATACATTTTTAGGAACTCCATAGATGCCTGTAACAAATAATTTACATAAGTTATGAATAAATATTACCATATCATAAATCAGATTCATGAAGTTGATGATCTTTGATGCCATACATATCTTATGTGTCTGAGAAATGGCTCAGGGTTGACAGACATGTGCATATATGTGTGTAGTTGCATACTATACTATACGATGTGTATATATGTCCAAGATTCAGTTTACGAATTACCAACTGCAACTGTAGTCACAGTGGGACCATGCTAATTTTATGCCAATTGGAGTTGTTCTTTTAGGGTAGTGAATGTAGTGTGATGAGGTGCACTTCTGCCTACAGTGGCAAGGCACTTGCAGTGATCATAAGTTTTAATCTTGTGTGTACTGTTGTAATGTACACGCATGTCTCTTTAACATTCTGTAGTTGCATTTAATTGAACGTTATTTATCAATAATACTTACCAGTTCCAATTGCTGGTATTGCAATTGAATGTAACTTCATGTCCTTATCAGCCATTGTTAGCAGGTTCATACAACAGTTGTACAGGTCCTTCCTGATCTGTCTTTCTCTTCCAGGATCCCACCTTGGCCCAACAACATGAAAGACAAACTGACAATCAAGTTTTCCAGCATGAGTATAGACAACTTCAGACATTACTAAATCTCTACCCTTATCCCGGATTATATCAAAACTTTCTTTTTGTATACTCTGACCTCCAGCTTTAACAATGGCATTTGCAACACCGCCAGCATGTTTTAATTGAGAGTTTGCTGCATTGCAAATAATGTCCACGGATTCTTTGGTTATATTATCATGACGTACACTAACTGTTATGCCATTCTTAGATGTAAACTGTAGACGTATATCAGTCAAGCTTTCTTTTGAACTTTGGCGTTGATATGCTCTACGTCCTGTTTCTGAATCTTTATGTCTTCTATGTCGACCAGAGGGAGGCAGCAATTCCAAATAGCTATAAAAGGTATCAACTGCTTCCTTGATCTTTGCCTGCTCTCCAAAGACTTTGTAGACAAATTTAGCATCAGTTTCTTTGATTAATACTTCCTTGTGTTTATTGTTAGTATCATTCATTGCTCGGCTTGCAAGAGTTGGGTGTATGTTTTTTCCAGTTAAATCAATATCCTTTGACTCTAATGTTGCATGAAGATCCTGCACTAAACTCACGAAATGCAGAATCCAATGACTGCTCTGTACAATGGATATTACCAGGTGCAGATTAATAAAAATACATGGTCCTCTT